TGGGTCAGAAACGGGCACCCTGGGAGCAGAACGTGGCCTGGACGCAGGCGGGGCGCCGCTTTCCGATGAAGCCCAGAGCGAAGAGGACGTGGGGTTTCAGGGGCCGGGCCTGACCCGAAAGCCCCGTGGGTCCCGAGTGGGACGCTTCACGGTGAGAGCTGGCGCTGGAGCGGCAGGCCCGGGCCGGGCAGACCGGGTCCTGCGAGCAGCTTGGGAGCAGCTCTGCGCACCCGTCAGGCACACAGCTTCGCGTGGGCTGCCGCCCAGGCAGCTTCCGGCCCCACTCCCCCAATCCGCCCTGTTCCCGTGCCCGGCGTCCCTTACGGTCCTCAGAGCACGCGCCTACCTTCCCTGCAGAGTGCCTCGGCCGCTGACGAGCCCCAGGCCCGCTTAGGCCGGCTCTACCTGTACAGTTTGAGTGAGGACACCTGTGCTTGCCCCCTGGTTGAGATCCAGAGAAAAGACACTCCTGCCATCCTGGACATGAAATGGTAACGCTTGTGGTAACACCCCCTGTGTCTGGGGTTTGTCATGGTGTCTGTTACTTAATGAGGGGAGCCTGACGCCAGGCAGCGTGACTGGGAGAGGTATGAACTGCGGCTTCGTTTCTTCACTGCCCTGTCCATTTGCTGCCCCTGGCAGGATGCTGTAGACTTGGGGCGCATGTTCTTGGGTGGTTCCCTAGAGTTAGTATCACTGAACAGTGATGCTCATGTTTGATTCGTAAGCGGGGATCTAGCAACAGCTGTGGGCTCCAGCCCAGTGTAGCAGCTGAGATTTCGGGGATGAACTAGTGGGGTGCGTGATGCTCTGGGTGGACCCCGTGTCCTGACTGGATGTGAACTCTCTCCTCAGGTGCCACGTCCCGGTGGCTGGCCATGCCCTCCTAGGTGTGGCAGATGCTGGCGGGTCCATAGAGCTGCTCCGCTTGGTGGGGTCTGAGGTCAGTGCTGGGCCGGCATTGTGGGGGTGGGAGGACCCCAAATGGACAGGGCTTGGGAGGGGGGCTGTGTTCATACAGCGTTTTTCTGGGATGGTTTCTGTGCAGAGGTGTGCTTTATCGTGAAATTCTCTAAGGCAGCATGCAGTCTAATTTATATTACAGGGTTTTGCAGCTAACTCCAGAGGTGACTTATATGTCACCAGCACAAGGGCTGAAGTGACAGGCTGTTTATTTACCTGTCAACGATCTGAAAGTTCTCTAAACACCAGCGTTGCAGGGCTGATGGTGCTGGGGCCAAGAATAACAGTGGCTTCCCCCAGGAAAGAGTGACGGTGGCTTCCTCCTGAGGAAGAATAGCTGTGACTTCCCTCTGGGATGCTACCTCTCGCTGACGGTTAGGAGTGCACACGATCGCTGTGACTCTCGCAGGTGTTTGACAGCAGCCTGTACCGTGTCTGTGAAATGACAGCAGTGGTTGTTGGAGCGAGGTGCCGGCAATCCTGCTGTGGCTGGATGTGGACAGCCCACAGGACCATGCCTGCCTCTGGGGACACTGACTGCACTGGCCTTGCCTTAGGGACGAGGGGTGAGGTGTCAGGCTGGTGTGAGGCAAGAGCAGGTGAGCAGGGACGGCGCTGGGAGTCGTGGAGTGGGGCACTTCCCAGGTAGCTTGGGTGAGAAAAGGATGCAGACCTTAGAAAAGAGAAGCAGGGTTTTCATGGCTGCTTGTGGCTTCTGAAAGGGGACCAGAGGAACGTTGCTGTTGTCTCCGACGTTGGCCTCCCTGGAGGCTGGAGGAAGTGGAGAGCGCTTGTCACATGGGCGCGGTGCTGGCGACCAGAAAGCACCGACAGTGCCGGGTCTGAAATGGAGAGAGACCCACTTGCCCCAAGGGCAGGCCATGTGCGCTCCTGGAGGGCAGGGACCAGGTTTCCAGTGTCCTCAGGCTCTGCTCTGGTGACGGCTGACACACTTGTTCACCTGGGATCACATATGTGAAGCTGAGGAAGAATTTCAGGGTCCTAGGCTGTCCCCCTTTTGATGGCGCCCCTTTCTCTCCAGTAGAACACGTACATGCTGCAGCCGTTTGCCAGTTTTGCCCTGGAGAAGCAGTGTCTGGCCTTGTCTCTGGACTGGTCCACGGGGAGAGCTGACAGGTGAGGGCCAGCACTGGGGAGGGGCCATTCCCAGTTTCTCGCATGAGAGAATTAAAGCCACCTGTGCTGGCCTCAACTGTGGCCCTGCCAGTTTAGATCTAAAAGGACTGGTCCCAGGCGTTTAGGTAAACGGGACAGTGTTCTCATCACATTGATTTGTTTTGACAAGCTAAGCATAGCTTCGGTCGGCCAGATGCCCAAGCCAGCCTCTTAAGAGGCGTGTCCCTGTACCTGGTCCCTGGAGAGCCTCTCCTGTGATGCGTCTTGGGGGAATGAAATGTCAGCGTTGGGAACCAGAAGAGGGTGACGAGTTTGGGTCTGTGAGTCAAGTCCAGCTAGGTTTCTCCATGGGTACTCTGTGTCTAGGGCCAATGACCAGCCCCTGAAAATCATCAGCAGTGACTCCAAGGGGCAGCTCCACCTCCTGCAGGTGACTGAGGCGGGGCCCGGACTGCAGGGTGTGGCCACATGGCAGGCCCATCACTTCGAGGCCTGGATCGCTGCTTTCAACTACTGGCAGACAGAAATTGTGTACTCAGGTGGGTACCCCGAGGGCACCAGCCCCGTGAGGGAGGGAGCACGCTGCCAGCCACGCTCTCACACTCCCTTCTCTGAAGGCTTGCTGGGGGCCGGGGAGCACGTGAGGCCTCCCCCTGTTGGCATCTTGAAGGCCTTTTGTGGGGCAGAAGCTGTCCCCCACTTAGAGTGCAGTTGGCTGCAGTCACCGCGGGGTCTCGGAGGTGCTGCCCCGGTAGGAGCAGTGGAAGCTCTGCTTCCCCGCGTCACACCCTGGCTCCCGGGCGTCCCGGCAGAGGCCCCCAGCTTCCACCTGGTACCTCTGGGTCCAGCGCTGACTGTCATGCTGGATGTCAGGTTTGCTGCTCCCTTTGTGGAGACAGCTTACCGTCCCCGAGAAAAAGAAGCAGGAGAGAGACAGGATCCATTTCCTGCTATTGCAGGGTGGACGTGTGTGGGGGACAGTGGTCCCAGGAGCGAGGCGGCTCTGGTCAGCTTCTCTGGCCCAGGTGGTCACTCGTGGAGGTGGGAAGCCTCCATCTCTGAGGAGCCGCAGAATTTGCAGAGGGACAAAGAAAGGCTCCCCACTCCTTCTCCGTCCAACTGCTGGGAGTGCGCTGAAGGCTGCAGCAGGAGAGCGACAGGGGAGCTCTGGGCGCCCGGGGAGGCTGCACAGCGTCACCTGCCCACCAAGACTCCCTCCCTCTGACACCTTCAGCCTCCCTCTCACTTGGCCTCTCAGCAGCCTTTTTCTCTGGCCTCTCCATCCCCCACCCTTGTCCCTGGGTTATCACGGTGCAGCTGTCCCGTACAGTGCCTTTTGGATCACTCTTCATCTGGCCTTGCCAGCCCCTCTCGCTGTCCATGTCCTTGGGCCTGTCAGGTCCTCGCCCTGCTCTGCAGCGCTGCTCCCCTGACTCCAGCTGTTGTCGCTTCTCCAGAAACAGCTGCATTTGGTGGCCTGACCTTTTCTTCTGAGCTTGCAACCCATTTGTCTTGCCTTCTGCCCAGAACTCCTGTGGGGGCTCCCCTCTAATGTCCCAACCCCAGGACAGGGTCTGGTGGTCCAAATCAGACACCTCTGTCCCCTCCCCCCTCCCTGAATCCACGTTTTGTTGATTTTCTCCTCTCAGCATCTCACAATTGGTCGTCTCTTTTTCTCCTCACCTGTCTGGGCCACCGTTTCATCTCGTTTGTCACAGCAGAGCACTGAGTGGTGGCCCTGTTTACTACTAACCCTTTCCAAGCTGGAGTGATGGCTTTAAGAACATGCCAACTTGATGGCACCCAGTCCCGGTGCAGACCCTTGGCAGCTCCTACCCCGGACACCTGATGACGTCCGTGGCCTGCACCCTAGGGGCCAGGCCTCCTTTGTGCCTATTTCCAGGGAGCCCTCTTCCCTCAGACATCCGTGTGCTGTGCAGTCTTTGTGTGCTGACTCCCTCACAGCTGCTTCTGCTGTTCTGGGAGGGCTCAGCTTAAAACCTGTTCTTAAACGCAGGCCAGCTGTGGCCCAGCATCAGTCGTTGCACCGTGTGGCGCCCATGTGCATCCAAAATACGGTGCTGTGCTTGGTGCCACCTCCCTGAGGGCAGGGTCCTGTGGGCATTATTTGAGGGACACCCTCGGACAGTGTTGGTGCAAACAGTGCAGACTGGATTTTTTTAGGTCTCTCATTCTTGGATTAGCGCTCCTACCTCGAGGCTTAGCTAATTCAGAGCATGGATGTACCAGGGCCATGATTGAACCACTTAGGACCAATCCACTTATTCAGCACATGTTTATTGAGCACCTGCTATGTGCCAGGCTCTGTTCTAGGTTCTTGGGGTACGTCAGTGAATAGGAGACAGTGAGCTCATACTGAGCGGGAGGACTGGATGGTAAACACCACACGTAAGACACAGTAAACATGGAACCTGCATGGTGGGTCAGAGGCAAGAGGTGCTTCGGAGAGAAGGAAGGGAGAGCGCTGACGGCTTGGGGAGCCGGGGGCAACTGCAGCCTGTCCAGTCACAGACTGTGGCCGTGTTAGGCCAAGGCCTAAGCAGAAGTGAGCCTGGTGTGGTAGGAGAGCGGTGAAGAGCCAGTGTGGCCACAGTACACGAGGGCCTGTCAGAACGGAAGAAGATGAGGCCAGGGGGCGCAGGCTGGATCACGGAAAGGACGGCCCTTGCTCAGAAGGAAACTGCAGCCATTGCAGAGTATGGAACAGTGATGACATGTCCTGACTTAGGTGTTAAATTTAAGAGGCTCTCTCTGGTTAATGAGTGGAGCGTAGGTGCCGGTGTGGGGTGTGTGGGTGGCAAGGCAACAGGGGTGGAGACCTGTCATCTGGGTGACGGATGACAAGGACTCAGTCCCAAATGGGAGTAGTGGACATGAGGACACAGGTGATTTTGGGTGTGTATTGATCAGCAGGGTTCCTGGTGTGGGTGTGGAGTGTGAGAGAAAGAGGGGGTACAGGTGTGTGAAGAAGCCACAACCTGTTCGCTGCCAATTAGCCACAGGTGGCAGCCCATACGTGAGGCTCACGTGCAGGCTTCATGCTTGGACGGACCGATTCTGCTGGCCCACTTCAGTGTTGGTTACGTTTATCCTGTACCAGTCAGTCTGTTACAGGGACTGTAGGGCTCAGTAAGTACCTATTGGATGGCTGGATGGTGGATGGTGGATGGAGGGTGGATGGATGGATGGAGGATGGATAGATGGATGGTGGGTTGACGGAGGATGGATGGATGGAGGATGGATGGATGGTCAGGCCTAGGTATTGCCTTTTGCTCTACTTTGAGCTCATGGGAGCCCTGTGCTTCAGCCTTTCTTCCCTTCTTCCAGGATTCCGCTGTCATCCAATAATGTGGTATTGCTTTGTCAAAGATTGGTTGTGGATGATGGCACCACTTTCCATTTTTCTTACTTCAATTTCTCCCAAACAAGCAAGGCGTCCTTTTTACTGTAAGGTTACAGAGAGCATTTCTTTTGAGAAAACATGGGGGTGAAGGTTCCAGAACCTTAGGAATCCCCCTTTTTGCTGCCTCCTGCATGGAGCTCCTGTCCTGTGTTCTTTGCTATGGCAACTCTGGTCCTGGCAGCCAGGTGCGTAATGGTGGAGCCTGCACGGGAGGCAGTTCAGCGACATGTGATGGGTGATTCGGCCCCATCACTTCCTGGTCTTGCCTGTGGTTCCTGCAGGCAGAGCCCATCCATCTTTCCCTTATTCCCTGCCGGCATCCTTTTCAAGTCTAAAGACACAATTGGGCCTGGGGTGACTTTCTGGGGGGCTGTCCCTGGGGTTCTTCCTCCTGGGCCAACCTGAAACCATCCTGGAAGTCACTCACAGGGATTTTCTCCAGACGTGCATCCCTCCCTGAGAAATGGTCACTGCCTGTCATCAGTGCCATTGTCGATGGGTTTTCTGTTTCCACACAGGTGGGGACGATGGCCTTTTGAAAGGCTGGGACACCAGGACACCTGACACATCTGTGTTCAGCAGTAAAAAGTAAGTCATGAAGGGCCAGTGTGGGCGTGTGACAGACCCCACTCTCAGTCCCCCCTCGTCACTTCCTGCTGAGAAGGAAGCCCCCTTCCTGGCGCTCGCCAAGTTTCACCCTCTGCTCGCAGACACTCCATGGGTGTGTGCAGCATTCAGAGTAACCCCCACTGGGAGGACCTGTTGGCCACAGGAAGGTAAGTCCCCAGGCTGGTGACAGGGGTCCTCCTGGCACCTTCCGCTCCCTTCCTCGGTTGACCGCTGCGATGTTTAATCGGGCCCACTCTGAAACCAGAGTGTAGGAAAGGGGGCTTTGTCCTGGAGGGATGAGTGGGATGGGTGTCCCTGGGAGATGTCGCTTTCCACCTAGGGGCCCTGGGGAGCACATGGCATTGGCTTTCCTACACGCTGTCTGATCAATGGGTTTCAGCTACGATGAGCACGTCCTGCTGTGGGACACTCGGAACATGCAGCAGCCCCTTGCAGACATGGCCGTGCAAGGCGGCGTGTGGAGGCTCAGGTGGCACCCTTTCCACCGCCACCTGCTCCTGGCAGCGTGCATGCATGGAGGCTTCAGGATCTTAAACTGCCAGAAGGGAACAGGTGAGGGGGTCGGGGCGGCCTGGCCTGTGGGGGAGGGGTGGTTCCCAGCTTCCTCCTCCTCCCCAGCATTCCCAGGGTCACACCCTAGGTCCCACACCCCCAAGGCTGCGCTGTGCCAGCTGGCTGCAGCCCCGCAAAGTCTCAGCGTGGCGTGCTGACCTGTGCCTGCGGTCAGGCTCCCTTGTCCCTGTGTGTCCCTCACTGCAGCGGCCCTCTCATTTGTCGCTGTCGTATCCGGGCTTGGCCCACCTCTGCCTCATTCTCCTGCTGGTCGGATGTCCAAGCACAAAGCCCGCTCCGGCTCTCCTCCTTGCTATTCCCTCACTTGCTGGGCTGTACCCAGACTGCTGCGTCCGGGCCACAGAGCCTGGCTGCAGGCTGCAGGGAGGCTGTCACCCTGCATGGCCTCAGCGAAGCTCACGCTCCAGCAGGCTCCTGGTCTTCCCCAGCCGGGACCTGGTCACTGTCCCAGCTGGGCCCCAGCTCACTGTCAGAGCCTGATGCCCCCTCGGCACAGAGCGATGGAAGCCACCCTGCCTGTGCTCTTCGCGTCTCCTCTGCTGGCCAGCGCACTCAGGGTCGCCCTCCCTTTCCTGTACCTTCGGCCCCATCTTTCCCTTCACTGTCCCTTGTCCTTTTCCAGCCATCATCGCTCTTTGTTTTGTGAACCATTGGGCCGTCCTTTGGTCGTGTGGACGAGTTCAGTGCGGCTGCCCTCCCAGCCCTGCCTTCCCTGCGGCGCTACGTTCCAGAACGTTGTCCTCTACATCCCCAGCTGTCTCCTGGTGTCCCTGTGACGTCGTTTTTCACTTCTTGGTCGTTTAGAAGCGTGATGTTTAATCTCCACGTTGTGAGCGTCCCGGATTTCTTTCCTTCTGTTACTGATCTCTGATCGCATCTCCTGGGGGCACATTTTTTGTGGCCCAGCACGTGGTGTGTGCCCGTGGCTGCCAGGCTCTTGGGCGCGTGTCAGGCGTCGGTCAAGCTGTTCGTGTCCTTGCTTGCCCATCTGTGTATTCACTGAGGGACATGTGCTGTCACAGGCCTGGCCATCAGAGTGGGACAGTCAGGCTCTGCTTGTAGAGCTGGGGCTCCGTGTGCGCTCTTTTCCTGACTCAGCGGCCTCATCCTTCCAGGCGTCCATGTGTCTGTCTAGTAACTCCTAGCTTTGCCTGCAGTCTGTCGTCTGACTTCAGAGCCACCCGAGCCCCGGCTCCCTCCTTGTGCTTTTAGTCTGTTCATTAGCCTCAGCTCTGAAATGAGTCTCCTGTATTGGGGTCTGCATTTGTCAGGAACATTATGAAAGTGACATTCTGCTCCCTGAGTGTGTTGTGTTGGAGGCAAAGGATGCCACTTTGTCCCTTTAAGCTGTTCATTTGGTCACTTGGCTGCGGCAGTCCCCTGGCTTTCTCCCCCACAGGGACGGGTGTCCCTTACTGATCAACAGTAGTCTGTGCTGTGACTCTGTGACCTGTGTCCTCTTCAGACTGTCACTCAATCCTTTTGATTCCTGCCAGGATAATTTATTGCTGTCATTGCAAAATGGTGATTTTCTTTTATCATTCTGTATATATTTTTAAAATTTTTCTTTTCTTTCTACATTTTTAATTAGCACTCTTGTAATGAAGAGGTTTCTATTGTCCCGTCTGTTTGTCTCTGCTTATTTAACGTCCATATACATTTGTGGATTTCTGTTGTTTAGTGGGTCATAATCCATTATTGTCTTTGTTACAGTGTCCTCATTGTTCCAGAGTTTCCCCGTGGGGGCCACTTGGAGCTGCCTGCTCTGTCCTCCTCACCTGTCCCTGTTGATTGCAGAGTACTCCTTGCTGTTGGCACCAGCTCATTTCATAGTTTACCTCTCACGTACCCAGCCTATAGCAGCCGCTTCTCCAGAGACTTGGGTCCCCTTAGTGGTATTTAGAATCCAAGATCTGGTCACTTGTGCTTGTAGTCACGGGAGTGTCATGTGTGTGTACACGTGTGTGCATATATGTGCGTATACACGTGTGTGTGTCTTATATCAGTTCATAATGACGCCTTCACTCTGTTCAACACCACGGGGTTCTCGCCTGCTGCCCTATTCCACGTGTCTCCCTTCTGCGGGGAAATTCCACGTGTCTCCCAGCAAACATTCCTTGTGTGCCTCTTCTTACAGGGTCGCTGCTGGGGCCACACAAAAAGGAGCACAGAGTGAACCCCAGCGCTCTGCAGTTCTGTCAGATTGATTTCACAGCATCAGAGTGCTATACTCAGAAGTTACTTGGGTTGGGTGTTTTCTTTCTATGTAGTTATTTGAAATATAATTAGGTTTATTGTTTTTTGGGTTTTTTTTAGATTTTTATTGGGGAATTAGGGGATGGGAACAGTGCTGGGGAATTGGGGAAGGGGAACAGACAAGCTGCTGTTCTTTTGTTCTTCAGTCTAGTTGTGGAGGACGTTGCTTCACTGGCCCAACTTGGCACCATCATTGTGCTCTTCCCAGGTGAGGCAGATCAGTCGCCAGCTTCTGGACGGCCGCTCACGGCGGCTGCTGGCCACTCACGCTGGCTGCTGGCCACACACAGTAGCCCATGGTAACCTACTGCAGCAGGGGCTGCAG